CTTTTGGTAACAAATGCAATCCTAATAAAGAGCCACTTTTTCTGGATGGCATCTGGTAGCGCACTTTCTTCCAGAATCTGGTACTTGCTGAGTGGGACCTTTCTGAGACATTCCCTTTCCATCGGATAGCCCCGTGCTTCTGCTTAACGTATCTGATGGATTCCGGCATGGTTGCATAATCTTGTATTTTTTCAAGTTCAATGAGAATTACTTTAATGCTGTCTTGAATAAGAGCACTATGCATGGCTAGCTGCTTCTCAGACTCATCTTCCAGTATGCTGTAACAGGAGGGCTCTGGTACTAAAACAATTATCACTCTTCTACTTTGACGGATTTTTTCATCAGCAACGTTGATCACAGCTGTAGAGAAAAAGATTGTGCAAAATTAAGGTTGTACATTTCTGTTTTCTGTTACCAGTATTCTGCAGCTACTAACAGTTCACTAACTGTTTGATATTTAAGCCAACACGCTTCATATCAAAATAGGGAGAGGATGTGAGCATGCAAACAGTTACCTTGGGTTAGCCAACAACAGATATCTGGCCAATACAACACAATCTGACCCCATCAGATTCTCTGTCTATATCCTTGTTTTGCAGAAACAGAGAAGAGCTACCAACTGTCTACTACTTATCTTGCTAACCATCATAAGTACAAATGCAAAAAAAACCCCAAGCTCCAGAACCACAGGACCTTTTTACTTTAAACAGTCTCTTCTGATATGCTCAATTGGTTTTATTACATGTAAGTGGAAGAGAAGAAAAGATTCCCTGCCATCAATGGCATTCCATTCAGTTAACTTGCAAAAAATGAAATATGGTAAATACCACACATAAATCCCATGGCTAAACCCTGAAAACAGACTATGGCATTTTTTCAAGCTGGAAAAATTAAGCAGCACTTTAGATTTTACTTCTCAGGGATCTTTTCCTTCTCAAACCACTACCAGAATCTTCAACTGTAAAGAAAAAACAAAGTTAATTTGATGGTGAGAGATATTTAGAATCCTATCTGACTGCCTGTTTCTCAGTTTATTTGCAGGTCAACGAGAAAACTCAATTCAAATTTGTCTTCAGCTAACTTACCTTCTCCTGGTAAATCATCTCTCCCAAGTATGAAGAGGTTATATCCACACTGTCTTTCTAAGACCTCTGGCAGTATCTTCAGA